GAGAACAAGAAACCCGTGTCAAGAACAGGCCGCCCGAACTCGACCCAATAGAAAGTCCTGCACGCCCTAACAAAATAGAGGGCGCGCTCTGATACATACAAGACACACTGCCAACAGTGAACCACAATACATCATTAATTAAACAAGTTGAATCTCCGCTCCCCTTGGTTTTTTAAGTTTTTCAACGGTTTTCATGGATCACCGTCACACTGGGATGTAAAAAAGGGACTAATGGGAAAATGCAAGAAACACACTTATGGTCTGCAATGTTGAAAACGAATTATTAATTAATAAAACAGAAAAAGTGCTTGTTGAACCAAATCTTTATAGATAAGGATTTTGCTGTAAAGAAGTTGTCTTTACAGGACAATGTGTCGGAGAGCTATATACCACACATCAAATCCACCATACAGCACGTGTTATTTTGCAAAACTATACAGGGTTAATTAATGATTGGGCTGTCATTTCATGCTAGTAAAGACCACCCCCCCCAAAAAAGAAAGACAAAAATGGCAAGTCTTTCACATAATACTATGAAAGAGTTGGGACATGTAGGCAGGTGTATCAAGTGGGACGTCACTTAAGTTTTAACTAGGTCCTAGGAGTTACGTGCATACGCACAACTTCAACTATCGTCCAATGGGAGTCTGCAAATCGTGACGCATCCGCGTGTATGACAAAGTTACTCACGAACCGGATAGACGTGGTCCGGGGACTTGCCCATATTGATTCGGGTTCATTTAAGAGAAACTGTCAGGGAGCGCATTTAATATTGACGACCATTGTTTGTGTGAATGTGTACTTTTGCTTTTGCTACGTAATTTTTGTATTTTTGATGGCTTTTATAATATTTGGATGGATTTTTGATTTATTTTACTGTACTTGTTCGGGTTAATTCTCTCATTAGTTTGGACCGCAATGGAAATAAGTTGAATTAATTTAACTTTTTCGTTACCCCTACAATTTCTACTTTTGGAAATTGTTGGGTTTGCTTTTCTTTCATTTAGTTTTTGTAATAATATTTCGTGGAAATAAATCAAATGAAATACACTATTATCCGCTCCAAGCTGGAACAAATGAGGGCGTGTTTCGAAATGAAATCGACAGTCCTTAACCCTTTCAGCCCCAGAAGTGCCACCCGGGCTCAAAGTGGCATGCGGGTTCTTTACCAATTAGCCTTTGTGGCACACGATTTCAGTGTCACTTCATTACCAACGTTCCTCTTTGGCACACAGACCAAAATGCCAGCAACAGGAATGTAAATAGCGCTCTCTCCCGCCGTTTGACATCGTCTCGAGCGCTCTGATTGGACGAGATGGCTTTGGCACGCGATTGGCGCGTCCTTACAACCACAAGAGGCGAAATGACCGGGGCTTCGGACGTTATCGACGAAATTTTAGCAGATAGTGGCTCCAAAATATCCTCGGATGAAACTTCTTCCTCATCAGAAGAAAGTGATGATGAATTAATGGCGACCACATCATTCGCCACATCGAAGCCACCGGGCACCCTCAAGCTGATCTTCAGGTAGGCCTAATTTAAGGCATATACATGTACACATGTACAGCCTTGCAACTAGACACTCGAGTCTCAATCATTCATATCATTATCATTACAATGTATTGCATTTTACAACCACTAGCAGGCTTGCCATATTTTTTCCGATGTCCCGAATGTGTCACGAATCCTAATTGTTATTAAATCAAGGAAAAGGAAGGATTTCAATCTTTATTTCTTATACTCTGAGATGTACTGTGCCGTCTCAATGCAGAATAACTTGTCATTGTTTCCCAGCAGAAATTAAAAATGCTAAAATATCACCCTCAATTGACTGGCATATTCTACGGAAAACAGAACACGCTTTTGGGGGAGAATGTCACTTTGAGACTGTGAGTGTACATAACCAAAGGTCCTGTGAATACAAGCAGTGTGTGTGAATAGGCATTTCGGTCCAACCGAAATCAGGGAAGCCCCATCTATCGCCACTTCAATGAACAGCTGAATAAAACATACTTATACCTAACTCCTAGTTTTTTCATGTACAGTGCTTTGATGTCTCGCATAAACACTTTGTAAATATTGTTCTTATTAGTCCTAATATTATTCTTCAATAATGCAACACTGGATGGCCAGCAACCTCCACTTACCAAAAGCCACTACCTGTGAACTTTACAGAACCGACTGGGTGTAGCCAGAATTTCAGTCATCTTTCACCCTTACAGGTATTTCAACTCTTCTTCTGTGAAGCAGTTTGGCAATTGCTGGTGAGAGAGACCAACCGATATGCAGATCAGACGCTATCTGCAGAATCCGCAAACTCTCAGTGTACTTGGATTCCAACGGATGTTCCTGAAATGATGACCTTTGTCGCACTGCTGCTCTCGATGGGCATCAACAAAAGGCATAGCTACACAATGTACTAGTCCAGGTGCGAAGTTCTTCGAAGTCCTTTGTAGCCGTCGACAATGTCTCGCAACCGATTTATGGCACTCCTTCGATTTTCTCCACCTTGCCGAGAACACAGCAGACACTCTCCCCGTGACTGTCTAAAGTTCGTCCGTTACTGAACATTGCCGGTTCGTTGTTTCGTAGCATCTATAAGCCCGGACGAAACCTCTCACCGGATGAGACTATGATAAAGTTTAATGGTCGACTCGGTTTTAAACAAAACATACAACGCAAGTCGGTCAAGTATGGCTTGAAATGTTTTTCCTTGAACGAGTCTCAAACCGGTTCCACACGTGACTGGAAGATGTTTACTGGATCCAAGGCGCCATCAGAACAAATCATCTGGCACTCTGATGCGTACGCTGAAGCCAACCACCCACCCAACCTTACAGCATCAGGCCAAGTTGTCGTCGACCTACTGAAAGGGCTGTAAAACAAGGGACATTTGGTACACTAGCCCCGCTTTTGTGCGCAAGTTGTCCCGGCTACGGTTTGGAGCTCGTTGAACTGTGCGCTATACCACACAAAGCATTCCAGACAGTGCAAACCCTAATAAGGTCCCCATGAACCGACATGATCCACCTAATTATGGCGACTGCAAAAGTGACACTAAAAACATTCGTTGCAAAACAAGTTCCACCAGATGTCGTACAATCGAAAGACCTGCCGTCGTCAACGATTATATAATAAGTACATGGGCGGAAGCGACTTAGCATCACAAATGTGTCAGTACTACACGCATCATCATAGATCCCCAAAATGGTAGAAACGCATTTCCTTTGCAATTCTTGACATCTGTTTGGTTAATGCTACCATCGTGTACAGCAGCATCCCTACAAAGCGTCCGCTCACTAGCTTGGATTTCCGGGTCCAGGTCATTAATGAACGGTTGTCCGCCTGCAGGACGAGCAACGTAACACCACGTGCCCCTGAAACTGAAACTTCTCCCCTTCGACCACTCCCCTTCGACCACCCCCATTCCAATGTTGCAATGGATCACCCTGTGCGGACACCAGCCTTTGACGAAACATTGGATGGGGCGGGGGCGGGGGTGGGGAGGGGAAGCTGGGAGGCAAAGGCTTTCATGAAACCTGAGCCGAAACTCATGTGCCATAAATGTGGTGTCATCTCCAATCTTGTTGTAGACAAGAATAATTGTAGCACACCCGGGAATGAAAGAAGTTTATTCCTATGATTTTATCAATGGTGTTTCATGATTTGGAAAGAGTTCCACGTAAAAATTTTACTCATATTCCTCTTCGGTTATCAAATAGTTCCCAGAAATCAGTTAGAGTTCAGGGAAGTCCATTTTAGCAGCGACAGAGTACAAGCTTTTTCAATGAAAACACAATTTGTCAGACCAGTCTCAGAGGGCTTGTACAGAGGGTGTAAAATGAACTTCGCGTATGGAACTCTTTCCCGTGATTTTTAACCGAAACAACTAATATTCTCCTTATTGGATATCATCACTATTACTCAATGGGGTGTCATTGTAAGAGAGGCCTTTCATGATCGCGACTGGTGAGGGCGCTATACACTAAAAGTTGCTTAATTATGGCTGGTAAACAAGGGAACTTGCATGTAAAATAGTGTGGTAAGGGTGAACCCCTACAACTAAATTCCCATAGATGCCGTGATAAATCCCCATACTTCACAAATATTTTTACTAATACAACTGGATTACGGTGAAGGTAAGTACGAAGTGTCTCATTTAAATTATCAACTGGTTCCCACGAGTTCTAGCTCGATGGAAAATCTTTCCACTTAATTAAGTAGTACAATTTACCGTCAATAAATTTACCTCGCAAAACCTTTTCCACATGATATTCTCTAGTATTGGGTTTCGTAATGTTAGGTAAACCAGGTATTTTTGAACTCTGTTTTGATTCATGAGTTGCTAACGGTGGTTCAAATGAATTTTGTGGCCAATCACCATCTTCCAAGTTCTGCAACGGATCTCTCTGAACAAGATTTCGAGGCATTTCATTGTTGGAAGGTCTGATAAATCGATTGTATGCAAACTTCATCCGGTTTACATGAATAGGCGTACGAAGTAACTTATTGTTTTCAAGGTTTCTAACTGTGAAATTCACAGGTCCTGTTCGATGAACAAGTAAATATGGACCACACCAGTACTTCTGCAACTTTCTAGAAAGACCCTGTTGTGTAGTTGATATATAAATGTAAACAACATCTCCTACTTGATAGGTACATCTTGTGCACGACTATTATAACGGTCTTTGATGGCTACTTGGTTCGATTCCAAATGCTCTTTTGAAAACAGACCTGAGTTCCTCAACAACCTTTGTGTAATCTGTCTTTATGCTGTCTGGTAAATAAGCAAACCACAAGGCAGGAGGACCCGACAACCGTTACGTAACCCTAATGACAGATCTTCCTTATCGTTTACAAAATCTAAGTTTGGCATAATTATCACGATCACTGAGTCGAGAACGTCCAAAACGGCCCTCGATTTATTTAATATAAGGCACAATATGATAATTAGGTACTATCAACCTAAAGAACGCAAGAGTGTAATAGTTTTTTCAGTTTTTCCGTTCACCCTTTCTTCTGTCGTAATGTACAACCGTCTGGCTGATTTAAAAAAAAAATGTCTAATAGCTGTCGGCATGTATGCTGACCCGCACCATGTTCCCACAGGCTATGGATACAAGCCACAAGTGTTGAATACATATACCAGCATGAACCGAAAAGTCCCGGCTGCCTGATTCACTAAATCGCGATTACCCAAAAACCTTCACTCGTGCCCTAAGCTTGTGATTCGGGGCAAGCTTTTGCTTAGTTACGTAAGAGCCATCTTGCAACAATACACAGATTTTCAACGGATGAGAAGGGCACAAAGGAACCCGTCCATTCGCGAAATGTTTGTCGCTATGCCATATNTGTGCTAAGTAACAATAGTCTGAAATGTGTATAGGGATTGGATATACCTTACTGCATATGGTAGGCCTATAGCAACAATGTTTTAAGTCTGGGGAATTCAAATCGTTATGTTTATGTGCAGTCGGATAAGTCAGTGCACATATTTTATTCAAATTTAACTCGCAAACGGCTTATTGGCCAGATGTTATAGTCCGGGCAGTTCAAACTCTTTCTGTGGCCCTGGTTTTAATAAGTGATCCAGCTGCATTATATCTAAATCGAATTCTCATCTGTGACTGATAACTTAAAAGTCAGAAAAAAACAACTTTTTTACACTGCTAATGCCCCACGCTGCGCATCACAAATAAACGATATAAAACTAGCTCTAACCATGGAGGACGGACACAGAAGGAGTTTACTTGCTTCGCATCCTCATTAACTTTTAACCACGCAACCCTTTTGTATATAGCCTATGATCGCAGCCGCTATGTTTCATTGTTAATTTGTATCCATAAAACTTTGTGCACTGAAGTACAGGAAATTCAATGTTAGTGCATGAATTTTGTTGGTGCTCGCGTATGTTCATGCCCCATAGAGACACCGTGTACAACAAGCATGCATGCACTCTTTATTTTCTAGCAGACAACAATGTTTTTGTGTGAGCAAACGGCATCATTGCGCGGAATTTTTCAACGACAAATACCAAAGTGTGCAGCAAAAATAAATTCTGAGAGGACTTTTAACACGACACCACGAGCAACAAACAATTTCTCTCCATTCGTAAGGTTTTTAAATAAAGGTAAATCTCAGATCAGTATAAAAAGGTGGATTTTAGGGACCCTGTCTACCAACCTAATTGATCAAATTGCAAACTTTTGCACTAATTTCATCAATTAATGTGTAATAGAAAATACGTTTCTGAGACAAAAATCTTGAACACTGATTTCAAGCATTTATTTTGAATCAGCCTGATAAAATTTTAATAATAAGGTCATTTTGTGAATCGCCTCAAAATCGTATCAATCCAACGGTTTATAAAAATTCAAAGGCATATTATATCCACTTTATTACCAAAATGGTATATCCAACTCTAGGATAATGATTTTCTGTTAGACTGTACTAAAAATGTCAGTTTCGACACCATTTCATAAGGTAGAATCACGGTTACAAAAACAGTTGTAAAATGAGAGAGAGGATTCGAACCTGAGTCGGAGGATTTCAAGCTGGGAGCACTCCCAACCAATGCACAGAATTATACCTTATCATATAACCATTCCTTGAACAGAATTGCGAATAATACAAAACACAGAGGGCGCCCTCAGAGTGTGGTTGCGGCATGAGTGAAACACAAATTGAGTGCTGAACCTATTTTATAGAAATTTCGGCGACAGAAATGCTAAAACTATGTGTGAAATCGATGATTTTGGTTTAGTTGGGTATCATCAACGTCACTTAATTCCTGACGTGCCTGAAATGTGAGCTGTCCGTATATGTACATGTAGTTTGACGTGTCTTTGCCTCTAGCTCAAAGGAGCGAATTACAGAGAACCACAGAAAAAGAATGGATTGCAAGGAACAAAAACCCCAAATTCCATTTTCATACACAATGCACAAAAGTGTCATTACTATGGGCACGTACCGTACTGACGTACACACTTCAACTATTGTTCAGTTCAACAGTTAAAAGCTTTTGTTATTTCTGGTGTTGCATATCTCCGTTGCTGTGGTAATTGTAGGTTGCGCACACGGCAATACGTCAACGTTTCTATAAATTGTTTTCAAGGTGTAAATGTTGGTTCAAAAGTTGAAAATAAAGACATACAGAACACACCGTGTCTTCAAAGACTTACATTAAAAGGTATGTTTTTTGTGCTTAAGAGAATTCGCTTAATGTCGTCATTGTATGAATTTTCTCTGTCAAAAGAAACTGCCGATTATTAAGGAGAACTATGCCTACTGAGGATTAGTTTGTACAAGAATTCCTTGTAGATAAAGTCACAAGAAATTGTTGTGTTGTTTTAACGGTATGCCTCTGTTTCCCCTCACTATTATAAAAATCCCATTCTGTTATAAGATGCTGTCTAAATCAAAATTCGATGCACTTAACTGTTATGGTTCTTTTCCTCTTTTAACCACTCAGACCAGTGCAAGTAAACAGCACATTATAGTTGCGTTTATCTGTTCAAAATAACCCTGAGATTACAACAGAGGGCGCGTACACACAAGGAAGTCTCAATCGGTGATGAGAGCTACATTTTGTGAAGCACATCCGTTGCAGTAGAGCTTGCAGACAAGTGTAGAAACTATTGAAAAGTTTCTCAAGCTTCTCAAGCGACAAGGGTTTTGCAAACTTGGGGGAACAGTGGCATTGGGATATTTCCTTCATATGGGCATAATTAAGGTAGAATTGCAATTACATGTACATATTTCTGTCGTTTGCTTTTACATTCTCAAAGGTCATCTGGAAGAGCCAACAAAGAAAGGCTTTAACAGAATTGTCGAGCCACGAAGAGCTGCCTTTTGTGGCTTTCATAAAGCATATGGGTCACAGCATGACCCGAATGCAAGGCACAATAACGCTTAGGGCACGAGTGAAGGTTTTTGGGTAATCGCGATTTAGTGAATCAGTCAGCCGGGACTTTTCGGTTCATGCTGGTAAATGTATTCAACACTTGTGGCTTGTATCCATAGCCTGTGGGAACATGGTGCGGGTAAGCGTACGTGCCGACAGCTATTAGACATTTTCTGTTAAAAATCAGCCAGACGGTTGTACATTATGACAGAGGAAAGGGTGGACAGAAGTTGTGTATCGGAACGCCGTAGATGGAACTGACCGGTGACGCCCTGCTGTATCAAGGTGTGGGTGTGCATGTTTGTGTGACTGATCCAGGAGACCCTGCCGGCTCGTTTGTCTGCCAACACAGACGTAGTCTTGTTGTGCACGGATGATAACTTCCGATAACCAAGACAGAAACACCTCAAGGCTGAGGCGACACCACACAAGTGAAAAATTCAATCTACGCCAGCGCCACACATCAAACGTTACACCATGAAGAGTTGGCAACAGATGCTACTAGCCTGGTTGCTGTTTGTCTTCTACCTCCTCGCTGGGGCGTTCCTCTTCAGGGCCATCGAGCTCCCCCAAGAGCGGCTTGCAGGACAGGAATTCAGCCAGACCGTGGAAGAGTTCCTGCAGTCTCACCCCTGCCTTTCCAAAGAAGAGCTTCTTCGTTTTGGCCAGCTTGTGGTCGAGGCAGCAGACAGCGGTGTCTATGATTTCGCGCAGGAAAAGTTAGACGACCGTCAGGTCACCGGTGTTCATATGGAGCAGAAAGGAGTCTGGGACCTTCCCAACTCTTTCTTTTTCTCCGCCACCGTTGTAACTACAATTGGTGAGGAGTTATTTACCTTGTCTTCATAGCAGATTATCGACAATAATTGCTAAGCATATTATGTCCCCTCGCAAAAGGCGTTTGCGTACAGAGGAAACGGAAAAAAATTAACAAGTTTCGAAACCAAGCATCCAACTTTGTTTACTTGATATTTCCAGGCAGTTCTTTCCGTAGTCGTGTCACCAGGCTAAAAAAGTGGGACGTGCACCGTCCAAATTTCAGATTGTAAACCAAAACGACTTGACTTTACCGTCAGGTGAAAATGGTCAAGAAAAGGATTCTTTAAAACCAAACTAAAACTTCGTGAAAACCAATGATCTTGTCTTCGCCCAGTTTAGCGTTAGAGATTTCTGGTAGCTACCGGTACAGAGTGAGTTAAAATGGCCTGATTTTTAGGGTTTGTTTAATTAACTAAAATTCTAAACTGGGCCATACTCTATAGTAAGTTTTCAACAGTGTTATTGGATTGCTGTCAGTTTTACTTACGATGACCTCCCATCCATATTTTGGTCTCAAGACAGCAGTATAAATTACCGTAAGTTCCAGGAACCCACTTTTCCCGAATTTGTTGCGCTGTTGATTAAAGGCTGGTTCATGCGTGGAACAAAACTGAACACACGCGAATTTTTGACGTCAGTTCAAAATTCGTGCTGCGGATTCGCAAACTGAACGCATTTCAACTCCAGCGTGATTTTGCCGCAAACCTTTCGTGACGTCAAAGTCGCCTTGCTTTCACCTTTGGCTGTAGGATGAAACAGCCCTTAGGCTTATAGGGATAAAACAAATACGGATATCATAATCGTTGCTTGAAAGTTTTGTTCATGGCCTTCCCTCCTCCGATCATTACTGCAGTTTCCATTTTTCTCATGCAGGATATGGTGACCTCACGCCACAGACGTCAGTAGGCCGTGCTGTCTGTATGATTTACGGTGTGATTGGGCTGCCCCTTACTGCATGGGTTATAGGCGTCATCGCTCGCTCTCTGACTGCATATTGGACCAAAGCTTTAGACAGAGCCGACAAAATCCTGCTTCTCTGCGTCAAGTTTGCCCGGTTACGAAAAACCATCATGATCCTCATTACCATATTGGTGTTATATGCGATATTGCTCCAAGTGCCCGCCGTCCTTCTTGGGCACATTGAAAACTGGGACGTCTTGACAGGGGTGTATTATTGCTTCATCACTCTGACAACGATAGGATTCGGGGACTTGGTGGTTGGGAATCATCCAGATTTTTCACAGGCAGCCAAATGGACTCTGAAGATGTGCATGGTGCTATATGTGATGCTTGGTCTCAGCCTCTTGGTGGCGCTAACTTCAGCCATATCAGAACGTGCCAATAAGACTGTCAAGAAGTCAATGATGCCCGGAAACAGTTATCGTATAGAACGCAAACAGAGCAAGAAAGAGCGGAAACGACTGGACATGGTGCTGGAAAATGAAGTAGCGCTCCGTTATGTTCCCGATCTGTCCTTTGCTAGACTGACGGAGTCTAGTGAGGACAGTAAGGTCCTTGGTGCTGATGTGAAAGATAAAGACACGGAAGTAGAGGTAACAATTGAGATGCACTCGCTTGGCAACATGAAGGAAGATGTGCTGCCATATTACGAGGAGATCTTCGCAGACATGTCAGCCTCCACTGACACATTGTGTATTAATATGTCAATGAACGGAAGCAAAAACGGTTTGCCAGCGAGACCCACAGAGCAATCTTTACACTGTACGTCACTCGATAACGATAACAGTATGCAAAACGCTGGGAACGTTTCTGCTATTTCAAGGAACGAATACGGACGCGTTGATTTCCACAGACCGTCAATTCAATAAACGTGAAAGTGACCTCATAATTCTCTCAATTCTCTCCAATACCTACCGTTTCTTCCCTTTGTTATTCGGTACAGTGTACGCATGGGCGTACAGACAATAATGAAGAAGGCAATTTTTTTCCTTCTTTAAAACTGTACAGTTTAAGGAGTACTTCTTAATTATTGCTTTTAATCATAAGATATGGAGCAGTTAATGCACACTTAAACCAAAATGCTTTCAACATGTTTTTATCAATATTTGAGTGAGGCCAAGGATTTTGCCAGCTCAGTATTAATACTTTCAAATTGATAATTTTTATATTTACTACCTTCAATGAACAGTTTTGCTTTTTTAGTTTAAAACAATAATTTGATACCTACACCAACTCCAGCTTCTAAGAGGAAGCCATTTTTAATCTGGTTTCCCGAATCTGTTTGATATAATAAAGTGGGAGGGTTCCGGACTGTTTATAAATCACGCGTGATCCGTACCTATATTCATGTCGTTTTAATTCTGGCTGTGAATTTACTTATTTTTTAATTTATTATTGTTTTAGTATAAAAAGATATTAAGTTGTCATATTCTATTTTAGTACCCTCATTTCTGACCTCGTTTCCAAAATTAAAAAGGGAGTTCCTCGCTTTCAATTTAATGTGAATAACTCCGGAGTCGAGTCTATAGAATGAGGAATATATAGTCAGCTAACTTTTATTTTTAACACAAACACGAACTAATTCACACAGACCTATCTACGAAAACATGTTATGCCCAATAATGATGCCATAGATTTCTTCGTGATCCTGTGAAGTTTCTTTTACAAGATCAGTACTCCGTTACCTTCATTAATGCACGAAGCCAAGCCTATACACCTCCGCAAAATACATTGCCTAGTGTAAATGCGTTACGTGCGACTTCTTGATTCTTGAAACTAGCGTTATTATAATGCCATGCCTTCATGAAAAATCAAGTTTATGAAATTTATCAAGATTTAAGCTACCAGCTGCAGGGTAGTGCAGAACAATCGGTTAGCAGTTCGGATGCCAGAGAAATCTCCATTCGGCGAATGAAGTCGACTGAATACCCACTGCTTTCACGTTGAATGGCTCACCGATCCCCTTGCTCGGTTCCATGAGGAGGCCGGTGGACGCGTCCTGGGCCCCCGCGCTGATTTGCCCAGCATCCGGGTCGAAGGAGATCCAAAGTCCCCGGAATTCCTCTGGGCTAAAGACTTCAGCGGTTAGGTCGATACTGATGATTGTTTCCAGATCTTTCGGCGCCGTCTTCTTTATAGAGGCATTATCAGCATCGGTTATTTCTGAAACGCCAATTTGTAGATGGAACAAAGTGATGATGAGATTTAGATTTTCAGTTTTCTGAAGAGATGGTGGAGATGAAGGGAAAAGAAGCAAACTAGAATTGCACGATAAGTATAGTCATTGCACATGTTGGTCGTCTCCCTCACAGAGAGGCAACCTCGTCAGTACAAGTGATGCACAGCACATTAAGGTTGACTGCTCGAAGCACACCTTGTCGCGTCGTATGTAGATCGTGTCCTAACCTCGTCTCAAAGGCTAACCTAGGCGACCACTGACCGGCAGGTTGTTGCCACCTGCCTTCTCATCCTGTTCTCATTCGATACCGCAATGGCATTTTATTCTCGACGTATACTATGGCGTGTTTTGCGTTGTGACCAGTGGGCCTGCTTGTTTCGTACGGGTCTGGATCTCGATCAGTGATCCCAAGGTTGGTTCCCTCCATCTATGAAGCGGGTTCCAGCGCCAGTGAACCAAGACGGATCACTGGTCTAGATCCAGATCTGTGCGAAACAAACAGGCCCACATTGCACCTATTTCTCCTCCCAAGCACTACCCTTTTGGTTTTGCCCTCTACCCTTTTGGTTTTTCCGGCGAGGCAAGGGGTAGGGCTAGGATCGGTGCGATCACACCTACTAAAATACTCGCAAGTCACTAGTCAGGAAGAGATACATTACATATGGCACTATAGTATTTTTGGAAACGCAAATCATGCATTATCATTGCGAGACTGCAGCTAATGAACCTTTTTTCTGGAGCAAGTATTATGGATTGCAATTTGTGATAAAAGTTACTTTTTCAGTTTAATACAGGACAAAAAAGGAGGCTTGGAACCCAGAAAAACCCCAACAGTCTGACACCATCCCATGTCAGGAAAACGTCCATGGCAGCTTACTCTGGACACTATGGGGATAAGGTTGTCTACTTTAGGCATCCTTCTACTTGAGCGACTATAGTCAACGACTCTGACCCGCAGATGATGCGTGTCAAACGAGTAACCTCTACTAATAATGCACATTTTCTTGATGTTGTTTCTGCTAAAATGTTGTAACTGGCATGTACTGTTATTGTTCCAGTCATCACTGATTTTAGTGTGTAATCGTGTTATGATGTCCTTTATTTTGTATTTTGTACACTACACAATTGTTTTTGACTCCTCTGTCAATATTTTATTCTCTTTTAGCAGGGGTCTGGTCTCATGCACATCTCTTTTTTTAAGCAACGGGGGTAAATCCCGGGAGATAAGGGTATATATCCCCGGCACATTTTTGACCGGGGATGGGCTTTTGAATTATCCATTCACTTTTTTGTGGTGTGAAAAAAAATTCAGGCGGATTGGTGAAGAATTTGGCGGACTTCATAATTCACCAAAATTAAATTCAATAGCAGTCAAAAAGCTATAAATATAAGGTTTTTCAGGAGGGTGCAAATGTATTTTGTATTATGAACATTGCCCCCATGGTGTCAGCACCCCCTTCCGGCTTTTGAAATTTCTACATCCGGGCAAGTCATCCCCACTCCCATCCTCCCATCCCAAGTTGTATGGGCCTACGTTTGTTCTTCTTTATTCTTTGAAGTTAACTTCTCTTTTGTCTACATCCAACCCTTTGGATTGCGTACACTGGATGTCTTCTTGGGAAAGAGCTTCCACGAGTTGACTTGGGTTTAGCGTCGTCTCCACCGCCTTGCTTGTTAACACACTTCACACGTAAATTTCGAAGTCAGGGTTGCGCAGTGAACTGTAAAAACAGCGTTTAGAGTTTAAACACTATTTGAACCCACTGTTTCAACATGTTCAACGCATGACATGTTAGGCCTAATTTAAATGTGTTTAAACTCTAAGCGTTAATTTTACAGTGTAACTAATGGAATGCACCCAATGCGTGATCATGAGTTGATGTGCTTTTTACAAGAAACCAAGGTGGACACGTTTTGTGCGCGCATCTTCTTGTAAAAAGTTAAAGGGAATATTAGAAATATAAAGAGAAGTCCAACAATTCCCTACTTACTTATTTTGTAGAACACGTCCGATGAATCGGTTTGCAGGTACACGGTGACCCCCGAAGACGCTGTGCGCACGGCGAATTCGATGGTGAACGGTGTTTCGGGCAAGGCTAACACGTTATCTTGACTCACTCCGTCATTGGTGATGTACAAGGGACAACCTACACGGGTACAGATCAATCCGAAACCGAATGACTGTTAAAACACCTAGAATAAGGTACCCAGATATGGCAGAAAACACCAAAGTTGGCTAGTGCTTCAGTCATTGATAGATAGCCTGGCAAGAAATGTCCTTCTGTTTTTTGTGCTTGTAATTCAGCGGAGCCCAGCATGTGTGCACGCACGGTACGGATGAAGCACGCGACCGCGGAACGCGCAGTGCAACGCTGGAGAAGTGCACGAGTTAAGTTCCCACGTACGCAGCGGGCAGGGCGCACGAATTTCTGAGAAGGACGCACGCTACAGATTCACATGCAGAAAGTGTTGTAGGCGGCTTGATCGAGTATCAGTTTGGCTTCAAGAGGCGGTAGTGGCAATTAATGCGAATATTTTCCGAGTTTCAGACGCCTTTTTTAATTTTGGTTGAATTAAACGTCATACAGCGTCTCTTTCGGGACTGAGTATTCACTCCTTGCGTGCATGCCGCCGGCGTTCGTCGCGATCATATGGAAACCAGGGTATAATTACGCCCGGGACCCACAGCAAACGCTAGAAGTTTCTTTAGCATCAATTTTATACATGTTACTTGGTAAGTTTACATTTCCAGTTCGCATGTTCATAACATTGCCTAAGGGCACTAACCAGAAAGAGAAAATACAGTGAGTCGCCACAATTATTCATTTTGTGGTTGATTTAGGCCTACGCCTCTACAAACAACCTTAATAGACCCATAATTCATTGCATGTCCTGCGTTTTCCGTTACTTAAAAGGCGTTAATATTAAGCTGGCTATTTAATTCGTGCGAGTGACTTATATATAATAAAGTAAAGCCCACACCAACAATTGATTGGCTATAAAGCGCCCGACAGAATTCTTAAGGAA